CAGGATTACTGTTAACAATAAAACTAATACATCATGATACAGGGAAAGAGTACGTGAATCAAAATTAAAGATTGAGATTGAATAAAGCGCAAATGCTGGGTTCACAATTAGATGCTTAATCATTTTACCAAGGACCTCTGCTCTTCCTCAGCTCTACCAAGTGAGCTGTTGAAGGAATTATCGACGTCATTTCAATGAGGCTTATTTTGGATGTGACTGAAAGTACCGGTGTTCATGTGGATGTGCTTGTGGAATCAGTCTCATTGCAGGACAATCCACCACCCATTTGGAAAAAGCAAAAACTGCAATGCTCATTATTTTGGAGCATTGTAAAGTAGTGAAGTCATTTTTAATTCTGTTCAGTAGAGGGAAATTATATGTGAACATGCTATAATTTAATGTTGTAACTTTTAGCTTTCTTCTGTACAGTTAATACAGTTGTTGAATCTTTTCTAATTTTCTTCTCCTGCTTGAAAGGGAACAAATGGAAAAAATATGCCTTCCCCAGAAAATGATTTAAATTCTCCACTATTTGAATCGAATTGATATGCAGTCCAGTCCATTTTGTGATTCACTTCAAATATTTTTTAAATGGTCCACAATGTGCAAAACTGGATCACCACTGGGTAAATGAGTCCCAACCCCCTGCCTTTGAATGGGCACCTACCCAGTAATAAAGCTGTGCCTTCCTTCTGAGATCATTTTTTTCTTCTTTATTCCCATAACCTCATGGAAGGTCTGTCAGCTCTAGAATTTGTCTCTTGTTCCTGAGTTAACTTTGTGTCTCCCCTTTGAAATTCACTCCTCCAGATATTCTTCTTTCATGGCAATACCTGGTCTCCCTACCTCCCACACTGGCCCAGAATTACCTCTCTGAAATATAGATGTCATCCCATTCCAGTCCTGCTAAAAATCCTCAATGACTTTGCAAAGTCCCTGAAATAAGGGCTGTTACTCATTAGAGGGACTGCCACGTCGTGCTACTCGCATGTTATTTCTGCACATTCCCTTCCATCTGTCCTTATCAGAGTTTCGGGAAGACTGATGAGTGAATGGAACAGACCTACTCAGAAGAATGCAGTATGTCAGTACACCTTTTCTTATCCTTCTTTTACTTCTTTTACGCATTTCTGTATCTCTAAATCCACTCCATTCAACCATAGAAAGGCATCAATTAGCTAAAAACAAAGTATGCATGTTACACCTCAATATAAAAAAGTATAACTTAATATAACATAAACAAAGCTGCAAAATATAGCCTCAATATAAACAAAGCTGTAAAACAAGACTTTGTGTAGCCAAGACAGTACTGTGTCAAAGTAACAGAGGTGAGAAACTGAGCTCAATTTCTCCCACCATCTGGAGCAGTGATCTTTCTCCACAAAGTTCCTAGTGGGTCTGCAGAACCCCAGGGTGAATCTCTGCAGAGGAACCAAGACAACATTTCCAATCTGCCTACAGCTCTGAGATTTGTCACCAAGATACAAATGTCAAGAATCAACAGACCTCTGACACTTGGAACTTTCTGGCCCGTGGACCCTACACAACCTGCAGAGTTTCAATGTTTCAGCTCCTTTTTGAGCTTGACACCAGCAAGTTCCATCTATGCTTCACTTCCCTGTCACCCCAAGAGTCTCCTTACAAAGTAAGTATTTCCACAACCACAACCAATCCTTCTCGCAATCCCATTCACCCAGGACTTCACCACACTGAGGGGCTGCTCAAAGGATTAGTCTCAGGGGCTGAGAAGCAGCCTCAAGAACAATGAAGAGTCTAGTCCAAAGGAGATAAATTTATCAAAGGAAGGACAGCGTTTTTACCAGGCATCGTGATTAGAGGGTACAGAACAATCCTCAAGCAAGAATGCTGAAGGGATGCTGGAAAAGGAAAGGCACAGCTAAGAGGTGAAAGCTCCATTGATTTGCTTGGAATGGAGGGAGAGAGGCAGAGGGCAGGAGGGAGGGCTGGCTATCCTGGGGAACCCCTGGGACATAAGATGAAAGGGTGCAAACACCAACACAACGAAAGGGAGTTGTGCCTAATTTGAGGAGTTTGAGGGCTCCTAGAGCCAACCCATGGAATTCTAAAGCCTTTAACATCCCCTACTGTAAACAACCTGCTTTAGCAAAACGGGTCTTTCCTCGGTTCCTAACTTTAGCTTCAAGGTCACTATCTGGATAGCCCAGTTGAACTGGCTGAGTGAAGACTTGATACTGTAACTTTGAGCCTTAACTTTAACCTCCAGTTATATGGAGGTTAAGGAAAAATAATATATTAAATAATCCTAGATTTTCCTTTTTAGGTTACTGGAAGGTTCTCAGCCCAAACTGGTAAAGATACTACACATGAGCTCTTTACCCTCAGCAGGCACTGCAAACCCCCATTTGAGCCAAGGTTTAGCTCACAACTTTCTTAGTGATGGCACCCACACATAGATGGATCTCCTATCACAGCCTTAGCTACCCTTGATTGAAATGGTGTGAACTCCCCACTGGCAGGGGAACATGTGGCTTGGTTTCTTAATCTAGTAGTATAATGAAACATGAGATTCTGGCAGATATCCTCACCCTATCAGGTTGAGGTTAGGGGTAGAGATTATGCTCAGAAAAATCAGTTTTCCATTTAAAGATAAGGGGCAGATTTAATGTGTTGGTCTCAAGGTTCAAAGCAAGTAACCCAAGCACCCGTAAAGTTACTTGGTAAAAGTCACAGATCTCAAAGATAAAACATACCTGTGTGCATGTACCAACGACATAGGTATATGGAACTATAGAGGAAAGAAAGTCTGAAAGCAGGCAAAGAGGTAAGATTTAAAAGTCCTAGGAGATCTGAGAAGTCATTCTGGTCTAAGAAAAGTAAACCTTGTTAACAATATCAAAGTTTAACCAACAGGCATGCCAGTAAAATGCTTCTGTTATTTGTTATTTGGACTTAGTCCATATTTCCATTTAATTGCTCCTCTCATTTTCTTGGGTAATAATTATAAGGCTAACTTTTCAAATAAAATTAAATTGTTCCTTTTCTCTACACAGATTGGCTACAAAGCAGGTTAAGGCAAGTCTCCCCAAGCCCCTCACCTAGTTAGTCTGTCTTGGAGGTTCAGTGCAGCACCTGGGTGAACAAGATACTTCTTATCTCAACTCTTACCCTAAAATTACCCAAGAACAAGTCACTTGGGACAATGGGTCAGTGACCCTCTCTAGATCTCAGTTTTCTTTTTTATTAGATAAATATATTTGACTAGTTAGCTGAAGGCATCTGTGGCAGTGGTGATGGTGGCCAAATGGTGGTGGTGGTCGTGGATGCAGCATGGCCCACCACCATCTTGTAGGATAAGCCAGAATTAGTTTCAATATGTTTTATGGTGAGTCTCTCACCCTAGCCTAGTCATCAACCTCTCTGCCATCAGTCAAGGCTGAAAAGGAAGGGGTGAAAAATCCATCATTGCTATATATATCAAAACAAACAGGCCTCCCTGGTGGCACAGGGGTTAAGTCTCAGCACTATCAAGCTATCACCAGCCACTGCACCCAGACTTCGATCCCCACCAGGGAGCAAACCTCTCTAGTCTGGTGCAGCAGACCTCTCTAGTCTTGCCTGCTGCTCCCCTCAGCAGTTTTTTCAATGGATCTACCTGTTGTACTCCCCACTCTGTCTCTGGTGAATCCTTTCAACCCCTGCACCTCTGGCCTACACCCCAGTTCTTGTAAGCATAAATAAATAAAAATAAATCTTAAAACAAACAAACATCCTTTAATGGCCCAGTGCTACCTCCTGATTCCCAGCACACTGGAAACCTTTCCTTTGCCTAAATTTACTGGGACTGTAACCTCTTGGTCTATAAAATGGAGTGACTAAAGCCTATAAATTAGAAATTATTTATTTCTTATAGAAAAAAGCATATAGATTAAGTTTAAAATCACTTAGAAACACACATATTTTTGTCTATGTTATTAAGCAATTTCTAGAAATTTTAAGATCCATGCCTAATTCCTCCTGCTTTGCTCTGTGTTTCAGAGTTTGATTCATGCAAATTGCATTTTTAAGGGTCTTGTGCCCTCTGATTTCCAGGTAAATTTGGCCGGTGGGAAGCACTGGGAGAGAATGGGAAGCAGGAAGAAACCAGGACACTCTCCTCCCCCATTTTGGCATTGAGAGGTTTCTCTGGCACCATTCCTCTGTGGTTCTACCTCCCATTGCACAGTTGCTCCCTCTGTGGTCCCAGCTCCTACTGGGTGGCTCCCCTAACACCCACAACTCCTCCCTTTGATCCTCCAGCCCTGCAGGTAATAGCTGCAGATTCCTGCTGTTCTCATGTCTGCATTGCCTCATGGTGCCTTCAGCCCTTCCAACCTTTGCCACAGATTTCTTCCGTGCAAACACTGGCATGGGTGCTGCTGTCCTGACTGTCCCCTGAGTCCAGCCAGAGGCTGGACAACCCATTGAAGAGGATGCAGACTGCAGAAAATGGACTTAGCAGATTTACTCCTTCCTCCCTGTCAGGGAAGGTCTCTCAAATGTTCGGTATGTCTGACAACCTCCTACAACTTGTTCTAAGGGTGTTTTGGAGCTGAAGGAACACTGGCCAGAGAATTAGAGGTCTAGAACTCACTATATAGTCATGTGACTTTCACAAGAACGTTGGAGTCAAAAAAGCCTGAAGTTATCTGTGCCATGGTGGGGATAAAGCCTGCCTATTAGGTTGCAACACAGGAGGACATGGAAACATGTTTTAGAAATAACAAATCTAGGACATTTAACTCTCTCAGTTTCTGACTCAGTAACTGAGACACAATTGACTTTCACAGAACAGCACTCTGGTCTTGATTTCTACTCCTGCTTGTACTGAAGTGCTAACGCAAGAAAAGTGCAGAGTCCCATGCCTGGCACATGGTGAGAGCCATGTGGGTCGGAGCTGTGATTTCTGTGTTGGGCTTTTCCTGGGCCACACCCACTCGTCCATATATCAAAGACCATGCTGGGGGTTGAGGTCAACTCACCGATGTCGAGGACTCTCTGCTTCGCTGTGTGCTGCCTTGAGTGCCAGTACTTCCAGTATTTCAGCTGTTCGTCGCGGTTTTTGTCTTCACTGAAGACCACCATCACGACACTCTGCAGAGGGGACAAGCATGGCTCTTACTTTCTGTTCAATGCTGCTGTGGCTTCACATAGGCACTAGTTCTAGAAGTTCCACCAGAGGTATGTTTCTGCAGTGTTGCATTTCTTGTTTTAGAAAAGCCCAGACAAGTCCAATTGTATGGTTTGTTTTGTTTTAAAATGGACTGACTTAAAAAATGATTGGCAAATGAAACAGCACATAGAGGAAAAAGAATCTTCCATCATTTTCCCCATGAGTCATCAACAACCAGATGAGCCAATTATCAGCAAATTTAATATTTTGTGAGGTGAGTGGGAATACCAAAAAAATTTTTTTTCTGCTATGGAAAACAAGCCTTTTTGAAATTTTGTATCTTTGAATATAGATGTTGGCAACATTTGTAAGGGAGCAAGCATCTGCTGGTGGCTGAACTAAGTGCCTCAGGCTGATATACTGAAGTAATGAGAGAAATACTAAAAAGATGAGTTCATATTGATGAACATAGATCTAAGCTACAGATATTTCATAGACCAAAATATTCAAGCTCAACTGCATTATTTATTTAAATAGGTGGGTGTGGTTTAAAAATGAGCTTGAGAAATGACATCTTGTAGAAATAAGAATGCAAAACTCCTGTTAGTTCTAAATCATCAATAGCTTCATTGAACTAATTCTTTGTTAATGCACCGTCATTTACAAGATGAAGTTACCAACAGACAAAGAAGCAAATCCCACAAATCCTTTATACTACCTGGAACACAGTACTCTCTCTCTTATTCCAAATCTAAAATACTTCTTAGATATTTTCCTATAATTCCAGAATATTTCATCAGCTCCCATTGCTCAATAACTTCTCCTGTGTAGCATTTTATCAATTGCAGTCATTTACTTAATTGCTTACCATTATTCAGTAAATGGCAATGTCTGCCCATTGACTTCTCAATGAATGAGGACAAGGACTGTCAGTCACCACGGGGGCCCTGGTGCCTGACAAATAATGTGTCAAGTACCTGCCTGTAGTGGTATACCGTCAACTCCAAATCTGGCTAATTCCCAACATATGTATGACACTTATTACATGAGCAAGAGGTGTTCATTTGAAAAGCTAGTTTAGACACATGCACTTGTATTACCCAAATTCACGAGCAACATGACCTTTCAAGGCACAGAGGAAGGACAAGAGAGGGGGCCGCAGGCCAGGTTGGGACACTGTGCCCTCAGCCAACTCTTCACTCTTCTTCCCACTTCTTCAAACTCTTTCATTTGTATGTGAATGTTTACTGGGCAACACCTGGCATTTATTTCTGACTATCCCAAAATAATCAGTTTTTTTCTAGCAAATGACTAAATTTGTATAAGTACAGGCATATTCTTGGTATGAAAATTTGTTTCTTCAGTGATGAAGACAAAGGCAGCTTGAAACTGCTATTAACAAGCCTGAGTGGGGCCTCCCCGGTGGCGCAGAGGTTGAGCGCTGGGTTGCGGAGCTGCCCGCAGCCTCTGCAGCACTGGTTCAATCCCTGGCTGCTCCCTGGCCGCCAGAGGAGGGTCCCACATGGTGCGCAGACCTCTCCTGCCGCCCGCTGCTCCCCTCAGCAGTGTACTTCGGTCCTTCTGCCTGTTCTGCTCCCTGCTCTGGCTCTGGTGAATTCTCTCACCCTCCCACGCTTCTGACTGTACCCAGTGCTTGTATAAATAAATAAAAATAAATCTTTAAAATTTAAAAAAAAAAAAAAACAAGCCTGAGTGCTTGGATGGGGAATGAAACAAGGGTATGAGATCTGCGCTGCCAGGTGAGGTGCTTCCCACCCCCAGAGCTGAGGAGGGAGGGAGACCTGCTCTCACAGTGCACCTACTCCCCAAGGGAGAGGGATCAAAGGCCTTAAGAAGGGGCTCCTGAACTCAGCCATGGAGGAAAAGAAGGAAATAAAACTTCTATATTGAATTATTTCCATGATTTGAATGAAGCAAAATTCTTGAAGAATCCCTACATTCCAAATTGTTTTCATAAACAAGAACCAAGTGGCTGGTTCTATGTGCTGCATTCCTGTCCTTTGCTATTACATCAACACTGGCTTTAGCTCTTTATTGGTCTGAATAAAGTTGGAACTCAATAATGTATGGTTTCTGTAATAACACTTGCATTTTCAAGTGTAGGAAAAGGTCTGTTGCTCCTGTGGTATGTGGGAATCTTCTTTGGGAAATAACTTTTTCAATTGAAGATTACTGCTTTTTTTCCCCAATCAAAATAAAGTAACTTGTTCTGGGAAAAAAACTTTTCATGACTTTAGAACAGTAACCATACACCATCTTTTCAGGGTGATGATATAGTGCTATTAAAAGGATCTACATACATTATACACTGACTTGCAATTTACAGGATGTTTTTTAAAAATAAATGTATCCATTTTCTTCTTATTTAGCATTCACACACAAAGGTGTAAGGTGTAAATTCTAGGACATGTCTCCAGAAGTGGACCCCAGGCTAAAGTCCCCCTACCTTTATAGCCCTCCACGCTATTCAACATAGTAATCTTGGTGATTAAGAGAATAGGTTTAGGACTTGTCTATCAGGGTCCCCTCACAATTTAATTGTACCAACTTGGTTAGTCACTAGCCCAGTGACTCACCTGTAATACTATAAAAACAATAGTATCTATTTCATAGGGTTATTGTTCATATCAAATGAGTTACTAGATGTATGGTATTTAACAAGGCACCTGGTATGCACAAGATATTTAGTAAATATTTGTTGTGATTTTGTGGCTCTTGTTTTTATGATGGTGGTATTGCCAGTGCTGGCACTGGTGCTGGTGCTAGCATCCCTGTACCAAAGCCTTGACCTCAGGGCTGGAACACATGAGCTCCCCAGCAAGCACAAAGCCCCTCAGATACCTTTCAATCTGCAACTGGTTCAGTCTGGGTGGGATGTTTGCCATGTGCTTCTCACTCTCAACTGCTCTGCCTCCTATACTTCTTATCTGGGACTGGGATTGGGACAGCCTTGGAGGGAAGTTTTTCTGGACAGAGAAATGAGCACAATTCTTCCCTTTCTTTGTACTTGAGACAAAATCAGACAACCCAGTTGAGTCAGAAATCACTCCATGATTTTCACCTAAGGCTAATAACAGGCAAGCCAGCCAGCAGGTGCCCAGGCACTCTTTATTCTCTTCCACCTTGTTTGTTATCCTTGCCTGGCAATCTGGTGTGGGGGAAAACCTGGGTTGTATTGTGCAGTAGGCACAGCATGGTGCTCCCCTGCTAGTGTGTTAAAGAGCATAGGAAGGGGCAGCCTCAGATAAAATAAGGTGTGGTAGGGACCATGAATACAGCAGCATAAATCATTTTACAACAGGCCAGGAAAGTTCTTCAACCTCTTCTCAGATCTCTGCTATAATTTCCCTTTTCAGTATAGAGGGATTAGAGTTCCCTCCCTTTTTGGCAGTAGTAAGAATGCCAGAAGCTGGCGGACTTCCAGGACAGTTTCATTTCCCACAAATAGGACTAATACTCATGAATGTGAAAATCCCTCCAAGTCATCCCTCATAGGGATCACATCAGGCCTCACCCCTTGAATCTTAAGCAAGCACTGGGCTGCAGAGACTTTCAAACAAGGTTGCAAAAGACCTAGGAACACTGACTGAATTGCAAAACTTTTCAGAAGAGAGGAGCAGCTCTTTCCCACCCACAAATATGTTCTGACTTAAAGCTACTTACTTGAAAAATTAAGGCTCATTGATTGAGCACAATGAAAACAGTAATTAGGCAGCAATGAACAAAGCCAGGAAGATTCCTTGGATACAGTCAGAAAGTATGTTCCAACCATGTCCCTTCCCAGGGGTTTATTGGTTACTGATTAAAATGATAAGCTACAAGTCAATACGTTCTCTTGCCCCAATTCTCTGACATTTATTCTAGAATTATTTATTTTGGAATTTTTTCCATGCCCTTCCACAAGGTTGTGAGGTAGCCAGTCCATCCACCTGATCCCTCTGCTTTGTTTGAGGAATGAGGCCCATACCCTGACTTTGCTGATTGGGTGTCGGAAGCACTTGTTGTCCCCAGTCTCGCTGAGTGTTATGGCATAGAACTGGCCCTTGTTGAGGTAGGTCATGGGGCCCTCTCCTTGCTTCTGACGGAGAGATTTGGTGGCTTCCAGGGTGTACTGAAAGGTGCCACTGTGAACAGAAAACAACCAGTGGTCAGATTCACTCATTTGGACATTTCCTGATCAATAGCACACCAATAGCATTTTGTATGAATATTAACCAATATTTACTCTATTTCAGAGACAAAACACAGCATATGGCAAAAAGAGATGAGACCAGACCAAAGGTCATTGCTAATATAATCAGGCAACACTTCTAACAGTGGCCCATAAACCAGATGGTTTGGAAGGGGAGAAAGTCCATGATGTGCCTGGCCAACAGCACAAGCCCATGCCAGGGAAAACTGTTAGGTCTTAGGTGGTGACTGGCAATGCCTGAAACTTAAGAACTGATAGAATTTTGTCTCTCAGTGGTGGAAAATGATAGGTGCGTTGATGCTGAGTGGTGTGCTATCATACATCCCAAGGGGTGTGAACAACAAAAGTTATAACACAATAACAGCAAGAATTAAAATTACTTAGCTAAAATTCAATATATAAAAGTAAAAGAACGATAGATTTTGCATTTTTATGTTAGCAACCAGCCAAATGTGTAAATGTTCTTGCTTGATTCATGTATTTATATATACATACACTTATCCTTTCTAAGATGTTGCAAAAAGCTCTATCCCACTTTAAAATATTTCAAAATGTGAAAATTCAAGGTTCAAACACTCATTCCTGAGACTAGTTCCATAACAGGGAGTGCAATTTTTGTTTTGTTTTTAAGTCTGTGAAAGAACTCATGGCAGGATTGCTGCTTAAATGAAGCATTTGCAAACTATAGTCCATGGGTCATATCCAGCTTGCTGCCTATTTTTGTAAATAAAGTTTTATTGGAACACAGCTATACTCATTTGTATTCAGCTTATCTGTCACTGCTTTTACACTGAAACAGCAGGGTTAAATAGCTGTGACAGAGACTACTTAGCTCATTACAGGAAAAGTATGTAGATTCCTGCTTTAAATAATTTCCCTGGTGTTTTTATAATATGATTTAATGTATAAAATTAAAAAAAAAAACACTGATTTCCCCAAGTTTCAATATGGCAATTGTTTAAAATGAGCAATAGACCAATCTTTTTGTTGAACAAATTCTTTCAGAAATATGCATTTCTTCTATGCTGCAGGATAGCACACAGTGATCATATACTTTTTTGAATCATCAGAATCTCTTCCATGGCCTACTTTTAGCCCATTAATTATATAGACCTTGACAGTCTGGTGTATAGGTGACCCTCAAAGTTTGTCCCTTAAAATGACCTGTTGACAAGACTTGGGAGACTCTTGCTTTCTATGTTAAATATTTATGCAATATTTGATTTTTTTAAAAAAACTTTAGTGAGAAAAAATTGAAGGACAAAAATAGTATTCCTCTTGCATGATAAAAGTATAAGCTGACAAACTAAGCAAATTTCAGAACATGTGTCAGAGAACAAAGTGGAAAATAAATCATTCAAGACAGAACCAATTCCATTGTTATTTTGCCTGGAAAAAATTTAATTTCGATACATCACTGAATCATGAAATGTTAGATCTGGACAGTCTAGACCAATCCCTGGTTTATCCAGTAGCTTGTGACTCTTCTAAGACACAGAGGCTTGAAACACCTGAAGAAACTGTGAAACTTCTTCCCAGTAAAAGATGAACATGAACACAAATGATTTTGAATATAATTTCAGGAGAGTCATGACCACCCCCCACCCCCCCCCACCAGTCAGTCCATAAAATGAGCCACCTTCCTTATTTCACAGCTGAAGAGAGGCTGAGAAACTTGCTCACTTCACTGGAAAATGAGGGCAGAAGGAAGAGAAGTCAGGTCAGGTAATTGGTAACCAGCGTGCTTTTCCCTAGCCTGATAGCTGACTACATGGCCACTGGGATTTATAGCATGAAAATTATGCATGTATTTCCAAAGTTTAGAAGATGACTTGGAATTCTATCTCTCAGACCCACCCCCCAGCCCCCAGCACAAAGTCAAATTCTGACTAATCAGATTTAGGGAAGATGACAAGGGAGCAAGATCCTGAGAGCTCAGAAGGTCTTCAAGTGGAAACACAGAGACTGGAAGATGGCCATACATGTAAAAGCAAAGGGGCAAGAAATATGATAGAAAGCAGGTTCAAAGTAAAGAAGGTCGGTACATAGAGGGTCCTGACCAACTTCATTTGGAATTTGTATCTAATGGTGAAATCACTGGTAAGTGGAAGAGAAATTAAAAGTCTTAACACTCTCCTTCCTTCAAGCATGACCATGACCCTCCACCAAGAATGTTCTCTAATCCTCCTCTTTCCCTGAAAATACCTGACATTAATCCTTCAAGACCCAGCTCAGATGCTACTTTCTGTGAAGTTTTGCTCTTCCTGCCCCATGCCACTCACCTTCTACCCCCTACCTCATTACATACACCCAGCCCCACAGCCCCACTGGCCCTCTCTGCCTTCTGTTTACGTATTCCTGTAGCGGGTCTCATCACTGAGCACATTTATTGCAATTTGTCCATCACCACAATTGACTCCTCCAAAGTCTAATGGGCCCCTTGTAATTAGAAATTATATCTTATCCCCCATGTCTAGCACAACGGTGGTAGATGGAAGCTACCATCGTGCCCAATAGCTGGTAATTAAATATGTATGTGCCAAGTGGAACAGAAGGGGTGAAAAGGTGTTGGTAGAAATCAGTCATGTTGCAAGAGTTCAGAGGAATGTGAACAAGAGTGTAAGTTGGAAGGAACAAGACGGGTAGAATGTAACATTCAGTATTTGGCAAATGCTGTCAAAAAGAAGCAGGAAGGCAGGCAGACCCTTATACCTCTAACATGGGTGACTAGGAGGCTGGTTACATCATCAGTCACGATAGGAAATAAAAGCAGACCAGATATGAGAGAAGTGGAGAAGGAAGAAACAAGAGGAAGAGACAGCAAAAAGAGTTCCATTATGTATATGACCAGTGGGAGATGCACGAATTTGAGGACCAGAGGTGCACCTAACACAGAATGTCTAGTCAACAGATGGATAAAGAAAGGGTATAGAACAATTTAGAAATCATTTGTACAGAGGAAAAAATTGCAAATAAAAACAGATTGTTCAATAAAAGTATATAAAAGAACAAGGTTTAATATTGATAGTATAACTTAGGGGTACATCTTGAGAATGAACAGTTCATTAGTTATTAGGGGTATCTCCTGGTAACCTACCTTGATGTCTGGTCATACATGAATTCCTCAGCCCCCACTGAAGCACTGCGAAATTTCTGCAAAATTCAAGTCATCAAAATTAAAACAAATGGGTGAGTCATTATGCCAAAAATAATAATGTATCCAAACAGTTTTATCCTCATTTTAGAAAGGAAAATTACAGTTTTTGGTATTATGTTTTCAACTACAGAGAAAATAGTTACCATTTGTGCACAGAATTCACATAGTACCTGCACACAAGAACACTAGACAGAAAATGCATTTGTAGGGCCTCCCTGGTGGCACAAAGGGTTAAGACACAACCTATGAAGCTCACCACAGCCACTAAAGCACAAGTTCGATTCCCAGCCAGGGAGGAGACCCACATGGCACAGCAGAACTCTCCTGTCTTGCTCACTGCTCCCCTCAGCAGTGTATTTCAGTAGATCTGCCTGTTCTGTTCCCCACTCTGTCTCTGGTGAATCCTCTCACCCCCCAAAATTCTGGCCTGTACCCCAGTACTTGTATGTATAAATAATCTGAAAAAAAAAGAAAATGCATTTGTTGTTTGCATGTTATTCACATGTCCACAGGTGTTCCTAAAGTGTCTGTAGGTACTACAAATGATTCTCTCAAAGACATCTCTTCCATTTTTATTACCTCCAACAATTATCCCAAAAGCCACAAACCCTGAGTTAATGGAAAACTAATTATAGAGCAGCCACATAGCATAGCATAAAGCAATTTAATGGAGTGGTTAGGAGCATGGTCTCTGGAGCAAGACTACCTGGAGTCAAATTTTAGCTCTTTTACCTGTTATGTGTGTAGATTGAAGTAAGTGCTATATTTATTTTCTCCAGCTGTGAAATGTCTACTTATAACGATTAGAAGAATTAAACTGTTAAGAACAGTTCCTGGTACATAGTGAGTTTTATGTATGTGTATTAAATACTATATTGTAATCTTTTGGCCATAATCAGTGCCCTTCTCTGAGATTTTTATTACCACAATATTGTAAGAGAAATCTTGGGGGATGGGTGGACTCTAAGTCTTAGTGTTGAACATAAAGAAGCTTGGGTCCTAAGATGTTAGGTTTAGTATTAATAGGGTGTACTTCACTACATTTTAGAAATTCAGATGCAAAACAGTCCTAAACCTTGATCCTAAAGTGAATATAATCAAATATTGATGAAAAAGCACTTGGTCCTTCTACTCCTACATTTTCTCAAAAGTCTCTTTCTAAGAAAAGTATCCTTTCTGCCTCTTATTTTTCTTCCATAAATGTCCATTCTTTGATCAGAGATTCAGAAATTTCCTTCTCAAGAAAAGGTCATTTGTGGTTATTTTGCTAATCTCTAGAATTCTATGTACCCCTATACATGCATACTTATGACCCTCACTTTATCCAGTTTTATAAATTCCTTGGACCAGGAAGATGATATGCCCTTCAGAGTTTACCCAAATGTATCTCAGTAACGCTTCACAAATACTTGATGACTGGTCCCATAATCATGACAAGGATTCAGATTTAAATTATTTTTATAATAATTTAATTTGCAAAGCATACAATGGTAATTTTCTGGGGCTTCACCATCTTCTTGGAGTCAAGAGAAATACAGAAAACATAAGACATTGTGCTGGTCTCAAAAAGATAAAAATTGAACCGAATTAATAAGTAGGCAGTAGATCTAAACAGACAATTCATCAAAGAAAATATCCAGAAGGCAAATAGATACATGGAATAATGATGATCATTGCTTCCAATTAAGAGATGCAGGTTAAAACCACAATGAGATAACATCTTACACCCATAAGAATGGCATGTACTAGAAAGACCCCCTACAACTAGTGCTGGAGAGAATACATAGAAAAAGAAAGCCCTATTTCACAATTGGTAGGAATGTAAACTGGCATCACCATTATGGGAAGCAACCTAGATTTACCTTAAGAAACTAAAAATGAAAATACCATACAACCCAGTAATCCCACTCTTGGGCATCCATCCAAAGAATGTAAAACCATCAAGTGGAAAAACCATATACTCTGTTTACTGCAACACTATTTCTAATAGCTAGGATATGAAAACAATCTAAATGCCCAATGAAAGGGAATTGGATTGAAATGATATGGTATATCCACCCAATAGAGTATTATTTAGCCACATGTGAAGATGAAATGTTGCCATTTATAGCATAATGGATGGAGGTTAAGAGGAAGGGGGAGAGAGAGGGTAAGGGGTTATATGGGTGGTTGGGTGAAGTTCCAAGTATTCAGGGTCCCTGCAGTCCTCTGTGCTATTAGCAGAGAAGATGGCGCTCTGACCTCACTTGTCACTTAGTGAGTTTGGCTATGCTAAGTTTTGGGAGTAGACCTGGTAGAGCTGAACCACTTGGCCAATGTAGTGAGAAGAGTTTATTGGGATGTAGAATGGCAGGCTAACAGAGAGGGTGGGGTAAGAAAGAAAAAAAGAGTCAGAAAAAGTGGCCAAGGTTAGGGGGGCTCTGTTGAACTCCTGGCCAATTAGAAATTCTAGCAATTAGTGCAAAAGAATTTTAAGATTTGGGAAGAAAGTTTTTGTGTTGTATCCCTAAATGATTGGTAACTCACAAAAATGAGTGATGTTATTCTCATTTGTGGCAATCAGGAAAAAAAGAGAAAAATTGGTTGAGATAATAGGTAAATTCACATACAGACAACAAAGGAAACTAAAATTGTAATACCTAACACATGGGTAGATATAAAGTTTATGTTGAATCATTCATTTATTCATGTGTCCTGACAGGAAAAGCATGGAATGAGCATTGTAGGAAAAGGAGATCAGCAAAATTATGGGAAGATTTCAGAGTTTTTGAGCTTTGTACTGGTCATTGAAAGCTAAAGCCTAATTGAAGGAATTGAGAGAAAATATTGCATGTGAGAGAGAACCACCCCACTTGTTAAGTCAATACAAAACCATGGATACAAATGTGGTATGTACATGGGACCTAGGACACAGTCCTGACCTGATTATGCAGGGAGGATCTAAAAACCTAGGTCTTCGTTGTTCAATACGGTAGCCACTAGTTGCATATGTTAAGTTGATCAGAATTAAATAAGAGTAAACAGCTGGTTTCCCAGTTAACCAGTCACACTTTGGGTACTAAATTGACATGTGTGACTAATGGCTACCATATTGGAGTGCATAAAAGAAAATTTCCATTGTTGAAGAAAATTCTATTGGACATGACTGTTCTATAAAAAGGTATTTATACTGAATATAGTTAAGAATTAGGAAATTTTGGAGCAGGAGGGTAAGCATATAAAAAAGGCATTTAAGGAAGTTACTTCATGATAGAAAAAATGCACTTTCAAAGTCTTCCTTGTTTGAAGAAGTATGCATAGCAACACATGGTGAATCATTATTGAAAAACATGGCCTTGGATGAATTTATTTTCCATGCTATAGAGTTCTGCAATGTAAAAACAGACTAGCCTACTAAAAATATTGATTGTATATATTCTATGGTTCTAATCCCCCTGGTAATATGACAAGGAATGATATAATTTTTAGGGTCAACAAGAGTGTCATAGATAAGTTGACTAAAATAAAGAATCTTACTCCAATAACATGGTACATGTGAACAAGAACAGTGAAAAGATAAAAGTAGTCAATAAAATTAATAGACACAAAATTACTATTTTCAAGTTTAAAGGATTTTTTCCTGAATTTTGTTAAATTATCTTCATAATTTAATAGAACATATATAGTCTACCTGAAAAGCATCACAATCCTTTCTGAGAGTTGATCATATTAATTGGTCGCATGGCCTATGATTTAGTATCGAGAATTAGAATCCAAATGTGTGGATAATTCTGGCTACAGTACAAGTTTCCACAAGTGTTTGGAAACCTTTTAATATAACTTGTTGGATGCCAAAAGGCAGTCAGGCATTCAATATCACTATTCCTAACTTTGATTTGATATAGTGCAACTATATATTTCTTAATCATTTGAACCAAACTATTCCTTTCCCTGATACACACACACACACACACACACACACAAGGATCAATCTCTAGTAGCAAATGAAACTTGCTAATTCAGTTAAGGACCCTAGATATTTTAATAGCTTGCATAAAAGAAGTGCTACATTTTAGATGTATTTTCCTTAGTGAAATTTTCCTTAGTGAAATTTACTTGGCAAAGTTACTTGGACTCACCTAATCTTATAATCAGTTGGTTACAAGATTATAATAGATCATTCCATTGCAGTTACATCAGATTGAAATACAATATGCAATATAAACATTGATTTTCAAGACTAGGAGAAGAGTTAAAATATTCCAAATATTTTAAATTCAGTGGGAATAATGTTCACATTTAGTTTCTGGTAAGTTACTTTCTCATCCACCTCAAAATAAAGCCCAAAATACAATAGCTTCCTTTCACAAGCCTCTTTATCTGCAACACAAACAGAACTGATAACATATTCCCCAAATAGCATGATGGTTCAGTTGACATTGGACCACATCCATGGACTCTTCTGTGATTAATGGAATTTCTACATCATTGGAGGAAAAACAACAGACAACCCTCTAGTGAAAAAGCTTGTACCTCATATATTCCCCCCGGAGTGACTTGCTTTCCCTATGGAAGTACTTCTCACTGCTTGAGGGCAAATCAAATATTCAATAAGAAAGGCAATGTAAGACCTTGATCAGTTTAAATAGTTTGTTAATTATTTTTAGTAATCTAGCACTGGAAGCTAAGGAAGCTGACTTGATGACCTTTTTTTTTTAATTACAAGGACATTGAACTCAAGAAATATGATGTTCACTTCAGGGCTGGTAGTTTATGTTGTTTCGCTCTGCTCATTCTCTTGTTTTGTAGATGACACTCAGCAATAACAGGTACCTCAAGCACATGGGCTGCCAGTGTAGCGTGTCTGCCCTGACTCCCTACCAACACTGCAGAGAACTAGTCCTTGATCAGCAACTGAAAGATAAGAACAATCAAATGACATAGATAATGGACACTCAGATTTTTAAAAAATGTTGGGTAAGGCACTGTCAAACACTGGTACTACAAAGATTAGGATACTACGGACAAAGAAATCCCACACAATTTCTCTGGGAGCCTAGAGGCAATCATTAAAGACAGAGGTTCTGGAGCCAGACAGCTTGTGATGAGTCCCATCTCTACAACTTACTGCAATACGATGACGGGCATATTTACAATGTCTGTGCCTTAGCCTCCTCGTTTGGTAGACATGACAATTATAGTGCCTACTTCCTAGGGTTTTGTGAGGATTAAATAAGTAGATATCACTTATAATGATGTCCGGCACATAGTAAGTGTTCATTAAATCTTTATTGATTTAAAATATTATTATTTATGGATACAAAATATGGATACAAATATTATTATTTATGGATACTCAGGTAGCCACATTTTGTCCCAAAGGCAAAGACTTGGGCAGCAGTCTGCAAATATTTGGCATGTGCCACTACACTCACTCCTCTTGCGGAAATTAGAACCCGCAAGCTTTCCCCCTCTGCCACAGTCTTTCATTGACATAGATGGACTGAAAAATGTGAGACCAATGACCATCATCTCAAGTGGAGAGGCACTACTCCTAAATGTTGAGGAAGCTGACAGGAAGTAATAAAAATATGTATATTACATATTCTGGGCCAAAAAATGGAGAGATGACCACAATTGTGTCATTAATTCTGCTCTACAAAATTCCCAAGACAAAATAGAGTCTTTCAATAAATGGTGCTGGAACAACTGAGTATCAAATAAGGGGGTACAATAGATTTCAGCCCTTCCCTTACGTCCTTGAAAAACTTCCCTCAAAATGGATCAGAAGCCTATATATAAGAGGTAAAATTGTTAGATGTCCTGGAAAAAAAAAAAGGAGAAAATCTTTGTGACATTTGGTTAGGTAGGTCAAGACTTCTCAAACAGTAGATCAAAAGCATAAACTATAAAAGAAAAACAAACTGGTCACATGGACTACTTCAAGATTACATAGAGTTGCTCTCTGAATGACATATTTAAAACAAAAGGGCTTACATTTGCCTTATTTTTAGAACTCTTCCAATTTAATAAAAGGAAGACAAAAAAACAATATAAATATTGGGCAAAATTTTTGAACAGACATTTCACAAAAAAGTTATAAGAATGGCCAAAGAGCACATGAAACGAAGTTCAGCATCTCTAGATATCAGAGAAATGTAAATGCAAAGCACATGAGAAACCATCCTATAGTCCCTAAAAAAACAAACATTAAAAGACTAATAGGGCTCTTTGTATGTTGCTAGTGAGAATGAAAATGGTACAGCCACTTTGAAGACTGTATGGCAGACTCTTACAACGCTCAACATATATTTACCACATGACCCAGAGATTCCAGTCTTAGGCATTTCCCCAAGAAACAAAGGCATATGTCCATTTTAAAACTATAGACATGAATGGTCCCAGCAGCATCATTCATAATAGTCAGAAACTGGAAGCTAGCAAAAGTTTCTCAGCCATTGAACAGATAAAAACTGTGACATATGTCTATTTTGTTTATAATTAAACAATTTGAAAAAATGAACTATTAAGACAAATAACATAGATGCATCTCAAAAATATTTTGTGAAGTGAAAGAAGAGAGCATAGATGACTGTACATTTTATCTTTCCATTTATACACGATTTTAGAAAAAGCAGAACTATAGTTGACAGCATAGTTCTAGCCAAGAGCAAGGGAAAAGTGGAGAACATCAATACAGGGGAATTCAAGGAAACTTCTAGAGTGAGGGAACTTTCTTGATTCATTGATGTTGGTTCCACAACTTTAACATAATTACCAAAATTCTCAAACTGTGCACTTAAAACTTGTGGATCAGGGCCTCCCTGGTGGTGCAAGGGGTTGAGCACCACACTATGGGGGCAATCTGCAGCCTCTGCAATCTCCGGCCGGCCAGGGAGAAACCCACATGGCAAGGAGGGCCTCTCCTGTCTTGCCCGCTGCTCCCCTCAACAGTGTATTTCGGTCAGTCTGCCTGTTCTGCTCCCTACTCTGTCTCTGGTGAATCCTCCCACCCCCACATCTCTGGCCTGTACCCCAGCTCTTGTATGTGTAAATAAATAAATCTTTAAAAACAAAAACGAAAAACTTGTGGATCAACAGCAGACAAGCAAGCAAAGATCACTGTTCTCTCTAAGTTCTATGGGCACATGAGACTAAATTCTCTATTTGTAAAATACAAAGTATGTATATATACACACTTGATTAGTAAGCAGACAAATCCTTTCTTGAGTATTCAATCAAACAAGGTCTTAAAGAATTGTATTGTTTTTGAAAAGAATACACGGGCAACATCTTTAGTTACTACTTGAAGGTTACAATCCAGGAGAAGTCAAGGTGAAAACTTTCCATAATAGAAAGCTTCCACACTAACATCTCTTCAGTCCTCATAAATATTTAACTTTGACATAAAACAAATACAAAGGCAACTGCCAACTAAAAGAAAAGTAAAACTAGTCCTCCAGATATGTAGTGCAATAGTTGATTAAAAAATGTTTATAAAGTGGGCCTCCCCGGTGGCGCAGCGGTTGAGCACTGGGTTGCGAAGCTGCCTGCGGCCTCTGCAGCCGGTTCAATCCCCGGCTGCTCCCCGGCCACCAGAGGAGGGTCCCACATGGCGCGCAGACCTCTCCTGCCGCCCGCTGCTCCCCTCAGCAGTGTCCTTCCGTCCTTCTGCCTGCTCTGCTCCCTGCTCTGGCTCTGGTGAATTCTCTCACCCTCCCGCGCTTCTGACTGTACCCAGTGCATGTATAAACCAAACAAACAAACAAATAATAAATAAATAAATAAGACATGCCTCTAGAAAATTAAAAAAAAAAAAAAAAAAAAAATGTTTATAAAGAAAAAACACATTTTATGTTCTAAATTCAATTTAATTCTTTCACCCCATTTAAAAAGCAAACAGAAAAAAAACTGCAGGGGATGGGGGTGAATTCTAAGCTCCCCAGGGACTCACCTCTGGGTTGCCGTCTTTGAAGCTGCTCTACTGGGACTCACGGGTGCCGTGAAGCTCGGGTCGGTGCTGCGCTGGTCATCCTTGAGGTAGGTGCTGTGGCTGCCCATGGAAGGCACCCCATACTGAGTGGGTTCAAAGATAACCACACGTTGCTCCTCCCCGTCTCCCCGGGGATAGTGCACTGGCGGGGCCATGAAAACCGGAGTGAAATCTTCTGCTTTCACCACCGTGATCCCTGACAGCGGGACCACGGCTGGGCTCTCAGGGACATTCGTGTTGTACTGGTCCCGTTTGGAACTTTCCAGGTGGTCTTGGTTTAAGGAAAGGTTCACTGGAACAGTCTTTAGGACCTGTACTCGATTTTCTCCTCCACTCAAATTACTCTGGGTTTCACTCGTGCCAAGACAGTTTCTGTGTGTGGAAACCCGCCCCACAACATGATAGAATGAGAAAAATCAGCATTTTGCAACGCCTAATAAAAATAACCACTGTGTGCAATAATCAGTGAATGTGAAGTCATTAGGAAAGCGTGATGGAATGCAAGGGGTCTTTGCCTCACTAGCAGTAGGACAAGCACACAGTGTGCCTACTAATATGGTATATTCACTCCCACCTATGAAGTCTTATTACCAAAAAAATAGGAAAGTTGACCCTAAATCTAAGCTTATCTTTATATCTCAGGCAATACAGCTGCTGGCAAAGTGACTTCAGTGACATCAAAGAGAAGCAATCAGACAAAGCAGAATGTAGCACACCTTACCTACCTGGTTTCTTCAATAAGTCATGGGGGGGGGGAGATAGCTAGGAGGATTGCTCTAAATTAAAAGATATAAAAGACATAACAATCAAATAAGATGGATGCTGTTTGGATCCTGACCTGAGCAAAGCTAAGTAGCATTTATGAGCAATGGGATTTTGAGGCAATTGAATGTGGACTGAGGAGTTAAGTGATATTAAGGGAGGGTTGTTAAGTTAGGAGTGGTAATGATTTTGAGATTTTGAACTAAATTGTCCTGGTTTTATGACGCTACAAATCAGAAATAGAGGTGAAATGATATGATGTCAAGGACTTATTTTAAATACTATCACAATAAATATACAAAAAGGAAAGTGAGGTTAAGCAGATATAACGAAAGCTATTGCTCAAACTTGAGCGTGGAATGGGTATGTGGAGAGTCATTATACTATGCTCTTAACTTCAGAATACATTTGAAAAGTTTCAAAAGCAAAAGTTCTTAAAATGCTTTTTTAAAAAGAAGAAGGCAGAACAATCATCTGAAGGTAGGGAGTGGGAAAGATATTTTTCACTGTTTCATGGCCTAAACTTCCTGCAGGAAAAATGAGATAATGAGAGTTTATCATTAAAATAGTTTCACTAAATTGAGAAATTTTATGCGTTCATTGATATCCTCAGCATTGAATTACTTTCGGGGCTTAAAGAAGTGGTGTAACTGGGCTTATGTTAAACAAGATCTCTCAGATCTCAGACCTCCTGGGTGGTACAAAGAGAAAGCAGAGGATTTAGAAAATTAATTCTTGCCAGGCTGGGATGAAATACTTCCATTTATTTTAATGAATTCTGGGAAAGAGCAGAAGCAAGGAAAAACTCATTAATGAAAGATTGTCGATAACAAAATGATTTTACCAGCAATGTTTTAGTGGCCAGTAAAACTTGGGGTACCCTCTCTCTTATTTATGGGTTACTCAAAAGGACAAGGAGAGAAAATACATGGAATCCCTGTTCCCAATGTCTGCTCTTTAAAAACTGGCACGTGTTCTCTGGGGCTTACTGGCATCTCTCAGGGAAAGAAAGATTTCAAATAAAATTGATTCTTCCAAGAATTGAGCTCTTCTCTGTAAAGGAAGCCTATTAGTCTCTGAGCTGGCCTAACTCTCAAGCCAGTTGGTATTCAGCTTTGATTTTTCAGATAAAACTTCAAAGTGAAGCTTGAGGAAAGAATGGCTCCCCATGAACACAGCCAACAGAAAAATATCTATGCTTCATGGATCTATAGAAATCATCCTAGAAAATAATCCTTTAAGAAATAAAATTACAAGTCTACACACACATTCTGACTTTAGTAACAACCTGCTTTCAAGGCCAAATCAATAGTGAATCTGTATATAAGACAATGAAAATTCAGAAATTATGTTTAATCTGAATCCAGTTACTTGTGTGATGCCAAAACCTAGACCACCCATTGATATCAGCATATCCTAAACCCTATTGCTCAGAATATTGCATGGAATGTTAATAGATGTACCTCAAAGAAAGGAGCCCATGATAAAATCGGTATGAAAAAAAGACACGTTTTTATAACAAGACCACCCTGGGTGGGTTGCACACATCATGAACACAGCACAGCCTCCTGGCATTCCTTCACCCGTTTAATTGTAACTCAGAGTTTCCCAAACCTATTTTACCTTAGACCCTTCTGTGGAGGAATAACTATTAATCCATGTGGATAATGTCCTGCAGGGGAGGTGTAGAGGGTTGGTCTACAACGACTAGCCACCAAAGAAATTCTCCAGTTTCCGCTGCTCTGGGTTTTGCACAAGCACAGTCTTAATGACTTTGCCAAAATATTTAAAGCCAATCAGCGCCTCTACAGTTGAGAGGCCTCTTTCACCTTGCTCATCAAGAGTGATATGTGAGTGTCTCTCCCAAGAGGGCCTGCAGTTATCCAGGCGTAGGACTCACAGAAACACCTCCCCCGGCACCAGGTTACTGGGCCAGCATTTCATCTCTAACTTGGGATTTTTCAGTCTCCTCAGAAAGGGAATCTATCAGGAGCTCATGATGACCCTTTGTATGCACAACCAAAAATACAACAATTTCATTCCCTCCTGAAAAATCTGGTCATAGTCCAGACTCCAAAAGATAAATACAAGCTAAACTTCTTAACCCCCTGTCCTCTCAAGAACAAACAGAAAAAGTCATTTGGGGAGCCACACATATTCCTGTACAGAACACCATACCTTTTGTCCTGGTCTTCTTGACTGTCACTTGCTTTGCTTACAGACAGCAGCCTCTTGTCTCGAGGAACCTGGAAACATCACCAATCATCAGTTAGCCTCACACAGATAAAACTATCAGAGCTAGACACCAGCATAAGCAAGAAAGATAAAATGAAACACTTGCACGGTAACAAATTTGCTATGACCAGGAGATGGTTAAAGGTGAGAGGTCTGAGTGACAGTGATAGTGGACCAAACACAAAGGGTGATGATGAACACAGGACCACGACGATCATGATCCAGCTGTGTACTGCTGATGTCGGAAGTTCTCTCTGCGCCTGAGCATCTTCCCAGCTACCGCCATCTTGGGAGTAGATTGAAAGGAATGAGTGAGTGGAGAATGAATTTGGACATCTGTGCCCTTGAGCTGACAGAAGACACCCTGGCGTTACAACAAGCATCCTGTTAAGGAGCAGGTGGGGAGGGGAGCAAAGTGGGTAAGGTTGGGGAGCAGTATCTGGACCACCCATTAGCTGCCCTCATTACATGACCCATGGTCTGACTTCCATAATACTTCTTATAATACACTTGTATTATTGTCTCCACAACCCCAATGCCAAAAGATTAATGAAAAAAGTGCTACTTGGCAGAAGGGACACCCCACCAGCTATGCTTCTGAGCATCACCTAATCACCCTGCCTCATCCACATGGTTACGGAGCTCTCCCTCAGCTCTCAAACATTATGTTGGTGACATTTGAGTTGGATGTTTGGTTGGATGATTTTGCTTCATTGGGTTTTGTTGTGTGTTTGCTAGATCTCTTGATCTTTCTTCTAGCTAAACCCCTGTGCACCCAAAATGCAGTCTGCACTATTTTGACTTAAAATAGCATTTATGAGAAGTATCACTCTTCTGGATTGCTCTTGCATTCTAGTGGTTTCCTCTCACCTGAATATATATCCAAGTCCAATAAGCTGGACTAGGGAGGTGAGAGTTAAGAACTTGACCTGAATGTCTGGGTTTGAATCTCAGGTCTGCGTCATTTCCTCATATGTAAATGTGTATTAGTGGAACCCAAGGTGTTTCAGTAAAATTGAATGAATTAATTTTTAATAAAGCACTTAGAGTGTCTGGTACTTTATAAGTATTTATTAAATAAAAATAAAATAAATCAATTCTAAATCCTTTTTTTGTGTCAATTTTGAGGGTTACAATGTGCCAGGCAGGTGTTGCTAAGTGCTACACAAAATGAGATGAAGCAAAGGTCACTCCTATCAGCTACTGAAGATGACAGATAAATATAAATTTCAATACTCAGCATCCCCATATTCCTAGCAGCATTCATTAAATAACTAAAAGGTGGAAACAAGCCATATTTTCATCTATGGTTGAGTGGATAAACATGCAGTGGAATATTATGTAGTCTTAAAAATGAAATTCTGATACATGTTATAATATGGATACATCTTGAAGACATTACACTAAATGAACTAAATCAGACACAAAAAGACAAATATTGTGTCTCTGAAATAATATGAGGTACCTAGAATAGTTAAATTCATAGAGATGGAGTGGAGAATGGTTGTCATGAGAAGTTAGATGGGGGGTTAGTGTTTACCAGGTACAGAGTTTCTGTTCTGTGTGTGGTGATGAAAAATTCTGGAGATGGGTAAGTGATAATGGTTATACAGCAATGTGAATGTATTTGATGCCACTGAACTGTACATTTTAAAATGGTACTTTTCATGTTATGTATATTTATGACAATAAAGAAAAGCTGTAAGGAGGAAGTTGGTATTTAAGGAACTGAGCCTCTCTCTGTAGTTCTTCTGCTAAGGCATTATGTGTCTTGTCATACTGCCCACCTCACTAGAAAGAACTTGGCTCTTCTTCCAAAATGCAATCGCTCCTAATGGTGCTGTAAAAAGAAATCAAAACCCAGTGCTATGAAGTAAAATGGGCTGTTTAGAGTGGTCTGGAAGGCTAGGGATGAAGCTCCCCAAAGCCGCTGAGCTCTAGATAGGAATTTGTCAAGGGGATGGGGAAGACTTACCATTCAGAAGAAGAGCTTGTAAAAAGGTTTGAGGGTGTGACAGGGTAAAGACGGTATGGCCAGTGCAAGGAGTGAATGAGGCAGATCGGTGGCTTCAGACATGAGCAGAAGCTAAGTAAGGAAGGACCTTGAACCAGGGACAGCTGCATGGGTCCTTCAAAAAACCATATGCTATAGCACAGCCACATTCTCCTTGACTAGCAATCATTCTTCACCCTCTCCTTCCAAGTAGGCAGGCACAAAGTCCCAGATGTCGCTCAAATCCACCCATTTCCCTCTGGATGCCTGCCTCCTAGCTCAAACTCTGACATTTTTTTTTGCCTGCATTACTCATCAGCCTCCTAAAGGGTCTCTTCTTCACTTAGTCCCTATATATTCATTCTGAATCCTTTGAGAAGATCCAGAATAATCTTTACAATGCAAATCTGATCCCATTATGTTCTTATTTAAAACTCATCCCTTAGAACATGGCCTCCAAAATGTCTCCTGACACAACTAGGGCGGCCACCATTACTAAGCCTACAGTCACACCATCTTTAACCAAGCAACGCTCTTTTTCACAGCAGTCATCACACAAAGTTCTCTATCTGAAACACACTCCACTTTCCTATACATGCCTTCTCCAGGCTAACTCATAAGCACACTTCAAGTCCTACCTAAATGTTCATATCCAAAATTAGATCACAGTCTTCATGAGTGTCCACCTTGTTTATGGCTATGTTTCAAGTGCCTGAAGTGTAGCCTGTCCTCCCTAAATATTTATTGAAAGAATCAATCAATCAAAATGTCCTAGAAAAATCAGGACTAAAAAAATAGAAGAAATCAAGGTTCTAAATATTTAAAACATGTTGGCAACTTCCAGAGACTCTTAGAAGTGATGACACTGCTGCCAACATGCACCAATGCCAGTTCTAAGCAGACGACTCAGTCTGTAGTGGCAACAAAGGTGGGTACTAACCTTTGTGTTTGCTTCTGTCTGGGCCTCTATGAAACATGTCTATGTTTGTCTTCTCAAAGAATGTCCTCAGAAAAATGGAGAACTCTGAACATAGGTCCCTTTCTTGAGTCCAGACCCAAATTATTACCTAGTAAACATCCCTACCCAGATCCTATAAGCACATCAAACTCAATATAATTATATTTTTCCCCAGATTTTTCTCTGTAAACCCCATCTTAGTTAATCCAGGAATCACCTTAGACGTCTTACCCCCCACCACCACCAGCACCAGCACCAATGCACACAAGCACACAATCACTTGTCAACTTTTACTTAAACAAATATTTAATGATTTCTGGAATATCCTTTGTCTCTGTTAAATATTTCTTATACTGGTTGACTTAGGAGGGATCTTATAACATATTCTGACTCAAGGAACCCCCATCACTATAACTTATACCAGCCTGGACTCTTCCAGTGGTAGCCACTGACTTCTGGACCAATCTTGCCTGCCCATCCAGATCACTTACCATATGGTTCAGCAAGATTGACTACTTGAATTCCACTGAGTATAACTTGGAGTTTGATTCCTTATATTTTCTCATCTCCTGTTCCTTTTGCCTGAAATTCTCACTTTTTGTCTATCTCTGACAAACCTTCCTCTGTTTCTGGGTAGAGTAAGTAGTGCTTCCCTGGAAAGTTCCACTGTCTCTGGGAAGATGTCACACTCTTTGCACAGCCCTTACACAGGACTTACCACCAGGCTTATAGGACTGTGTATCCAATGAACTGTGACCTCTCTGAAGTCTTAAACTGAGTCCCACCTGCCTTTGTTGATCTAATCCATTACCTATAAACATTGCTGAAAGGTAATAGATATTACTAAATACTTATGGATGGATGAATAGATGGATGCATGGATGGATGCAAAGACAAACAACCAACAAACCAGTTTCTAGTAGTATCAAGTCAAAAAATTGAATGGAACTGACCGGCCAGAGAAGTATATTTCACCAGAGCTGAATCAGATTATTGCAAGCTGCCAGCTCCATCAGGAGAGAAATAAAGTAATGTCAAGTAAGTCAAAAAACTTTTAAAGTAACTAATTAATGGACTCTGTTGTGGCTTCCTGCTATACCAGAAATTCACCAAAAGGTCATATTTGACATAGGAGCTGCCACTGGTGTTTGAATTGGATAGAAAAGTGAGTTATGGCCCCTAAATTATTAGAGATTCTAGCAGTTCAGTAATTTTTTAATAAATACCATCTAATTGGCTTTAAATATTTATTTTTAAAATGACCCATTTTAAATGGATTTATAAAGACATTTTAAATGGTAGATAGTTTTATGAATGAAATTGTGTTAACCACCACCAAAGTTAACCCCCAAAGTGATTGTTTTTAAAGATAGGCCTTTAAGGAAATAGTTGGACTAAATGATGTCATAAGAGTGGGTCCCTAATCCAAGAGAAGTAATGTCCTTGCAAGAAGGGGAGAGACACTAGGAGAACACGCAGAACAAAGGCTATCTGAGAACACAGTGAGAGGGTTTTCTATCTGCAAACCAGAGATCTCACAAGAAACTAACCCTACAAGCATCCTGATTTTGTACTTCAGTCTCCAGAACTATGAGAAAATAAAGTTGTTAGTCAAGCCTCCCAGTCTGCACTATTCTGTTATTGCAGTCTGGGTAGATTAAAACAGATGGTATAATGAAATGGACATTAGGAAATGTACAGAATTGTCCTGTGACTGTGAGTAATTCCTACTTAGTTGCCTGAACTTTAAAATATAAAATCTGACAGTCTTCACTGCAATGACCCTGTGGTGACAGTTTTAAAATCTAGGTGAAAGACTAGGAAACATATAAAGCATTCTACTTGGCCATGACTTTGCTAAGCGAAGGGCAGTGGTGGCCACTTGGGGAGTGCCTGCTCTGTGTCACACACACACCTCTCTCTGCACAGAGTCCCAGACACTTGGGAGTGAGGAAAATGTTGTGTTTTACAAAAAGAATCAACCCACACTTCTAAAGAGGTATAAAACATCCATAGAATTGAAGTGGTAATATGGCAACAACTGTTAAATAATTTGACTTTCCAAAGTTTATCCTTAAAAAAAAAAAAAAATGGGATCTCCTTTTTTTATTATTATTTTATTTTACCTCAAAAAGGTAAAGTTGATTTAACTTTAAAAAAGTTGATTTACCTCAAAGTTGCTTTAACTTTAAAAAAAAAAAAGATTTATTTTATTTATTTATGCATGCAAGAACTGGAGTATAGGCCAGGAGTGTGGGGGTGGGGGTGGTGAGAGGTTTCACCAGAGACAGAGGGAGCAGAACATGTGGATTTACTGAAATACCCTGCTGAGGAGAGCAGCGGGCGAGATGAGAGAGGTCTGCTGCGCTATGTGGGGTAGCTCCCTGGTTGGGGATCGAACTCATATCAAACTCATGCTGCAGTGGCTGGTGATAGCATGATAGTGCTGAAACTTAATCCCTGCACCACCAGGGAGGCCCTGATTTAACTATTTTTATCTCTTTAACAGCAGCATAAATAAGATATGAACATCCAGAGGATTAAGGCCTGAAAATGATTAGTTGGACACAGTTTTGGAAATAAGACTAATTCTACCCACAAACACTAAAATGTTTTAAGCAATATATAGGAAAGCTGTGCAAAATAAAAGGAGTCATGTAATTTATAAGTCAAGTCTTTAAAACATATTATATATTTTTAGTCCAAATTGAATAAATTAATCACGGAAAATATTTATACAACAAAGAGTTATAAACTTTGCTACACTTTGAGTTTTATGTAAACTCCCAACTTCTCATCTTGTAATTTACAGAATGCAACATATCTATCAACTTGCCTTTAAACATTAAAAATGCACAAAAGGGGGCCTCCCCGGTGGCGCAGCAGTTGAGCTCTGGGTTGCGAAGCTGCCCGCAGCCTCTGCAGCACCTGTTCGATCCCGGGCTGCTCCCCGGCCATTGGAGGAGGGTCCCACATGGCGCGCAGACCCCTCCTGCTGCCCGCTGCTCCCCTCAGCAGTGTACTTCGGTCCTTCTGCCTGCTCTGCTCTCCCCTCTGCCTCTGGTGAATTCTCTCGCCCTCCTGCGCTTCTGACTGTACCCAGTGCTTGTATAAATAAATAAATAAATCTTAAAAAAAAAATGCACAAAAGGAACAGTAATCTAGGTGCCATATTTACTAACAATTATCCTCAAATTTATGGTAAATAAAATGCATTACTTTTATAAATCATTAATTTTTTTATTCCAGAGCAGGCTTCTCCTTTTCATTAATACAAAAGAGTTGCTATCTACACAAATATCTGAATTTATGTCTATTTCACAGCAATGGAATATAATCTAAAAATTAAAAACAATGTTTTCAAAATATATATTAATATTTTCTTAATTATAATTATAGACTATTAGTTTAATATAGTTATTAAAGTCATAAAAAGTTATAATGATTCAAGTGACTGTATCAGGGTCACTTTGATGTCTGATATATTACTAGATTTTAAAGGCTGATAAAACTGAAGTTTTTATAATTTTTTTAAATCATAAAATTCTTTTGTGATTTCTTTCCCAAGATAAGCCCATTTCTGAATATTACATACGAACACAAAAGTCTAATAAAGCTGAACCCTCAAGAAATGGCTTACTAGGACCTCTCTGGTGGCTCAGGGATTAAGTCTCAGTGCCAACAAGCCATCACCAGCCACTGCAGCATAAGTTCGATCCCTGGCCAGGGAGCTAACACACATGGCGCAGCAGACCTCCCCTGTCTCACCCTCTGCTCCCCTCAGCAGTGTATTTCAGTAGATCTGCCTGTTCTGCTCCCCACTCTGTCTCTGGTGAATCCTCTCATCCCGCACACCTCTGGCCTACACCCCAGTTTTGTATGCAAAAATAAATGAAAATAAATCATTAAAAAGAAGAAGAAATAGCTTACTACTCAAAGCACTTTAATCTGACAAGTTCTGTGCCTCTGGACCATCCTAAATCAAATATTTTGAAATATTTCACTCCAAAACATTTAGAATTCATCCTTCCATTTTTCAAATGAGCTTCTTAGTCAAAAAGGATTATAAATTTGGTTTTAAAATTGCTGCTAAATTCGTCCACAAAAGCACACCTTATAAAACTGAAGTCTGAAGCATTTGGAAACCCTGAGTATTTCTTGTAAGTGAAAACTCTAAAAGCTACCTAAGTGTTCAACCACTGAGCAATGACTGGTATAGTCACACAGCACTATCGTCTTCAGTCCCCAATAAGCAAATCATAAAGTGAAAATGGCAGCAAGGGCCTGTTTGCAATCTGATATGAAACAGAAACCTTACGTAGGTAATACGTATGTGAACAGAGGACACAAGAAATATATTTTCCCAAAGTGCAGGCTTGCCCTGGGTGGGTGAAGTTATACTTCACAGGGAGGAAGGATAACAGGAGGAGGCTGAACTGCAAAGCAAAGCTATTCCTTTTCTCCCTCTGCCCGCCGTGAAGGAGGCCCCAAGGCCAGGCGAGGAGGGAAGCCTGTTGGGGAGGAACCTACCTTGTAGTAGTCGTAAAGCAGGCCCAGGGCAGCAGCACTGTCCTCGTCACCATTAATGCTCATCATCGCCTTGGTGGCAGCCGTGAGGGGATTCTCCAAATACGACTTCCAGGCTTCATCCTCGCTGGTGTAGGCTCTTCTGGTGTTGAATGGAGGGTCGCTGGGCATGGGCACTAAGGCCACCAGGCGTTTGTTACTGTGAAAGCCAGAGAAATGTGAGGTTCGCCCTCTGAGAAATAGGCCTCTTCCCAAGAAAAATACAAGGAATTTGTGCGTCCCCAGAATAGAGAAGAATAGAAGATTAAAACTAAAGTAACTGCCACAGTGCATTTGGAAAACCACTGGCTTGTTTTCTTCATTTTCTAGAGAAGTAATAATGGTCTTTAAAAAGCAGTAGATGTGGTATAGCAGTAAAGCAGGCCCAAGTAAAGCAGGCCCCCTTTACTTGGTTTTCTGTATCTAATCGTTCTAGGAGTCAAATCTATTTGATTATTCTTCATTAATGGGAATTAGTATGAAACCCTGCAAGGAAGATGGGTTCATTTAATTCTCTGAGTTCTAATTATAAATATGTACAATAAATTAAATGTAATCAATATGTTAATGATTATTAAAAACTCTTTTACCTAGTTTAATATACATTTGAAATTGCCAGCAAATTATAGACCAATCAAAGACTCTTAATTTTAAAAAAGCAATATAGGGCCTCCCTGGTGGTGCAAGGGATTAAGATGCAACCTATGAAGCTGTCTGCAGCCACTGCAGCAAGAGTTCAGTCCCTGGCCAGGGAGCTACCCACATGGCACAGCAGACCTCTCCTGTCTCACCCGCTGCTCCCCTCAGCAGTGTGTTTCGGTCAGTCTGCCATTTTTGTTCTCCACTCTGTCTCTGGTGAATCCTCTCACCCCCCCACACACACCTCTGGCCTGCACCCCAGTTCTTGTATACATAAATAAATAAATCTTTAAAAAATAAAAAATAAAAAAATTTAAAAAGCAATATAAGCTACTTTTTAATTTTTTTTTATTTTTTATTTTTTAAAGATTTATTTATTTATGTTGTAAATAAATTCAGTTGTAAAGAAGGTCACTTTTTCCTAAAGCCCTTTCAATGGCAGATGTTTTCTCAACTTACTTTGTGATAGAGAACTGGTGTGAATGCTCAAGAGAGATGCTGTTGAGGATTCTTTATGTGCTGGCATGGTATCAGGAATTAGAGTAAGGTCAGAAAATGACACTAACATTGGTAAGATACACTTGGAGATAAGGAGGGAAATCCACATTTAGGGTGTATGTCTCCAGGCCCCTGATTTGAATGCTGTGCCAGAGATTTGGTGGAACTGACTGGGAAAAGAGAATATTAATTTCATTGCAACTGAATTGGACTCAAAATATAATCAAGTTTCTGGAAGTAAAGGGAAAAAACCTGGGTAGAAGACATAACCATTAGGCAGTGTGGTGACACAGAATAGCAGAGGTCCTGGGAGTGAGTCCTTGCTTGACACCAACAGTGTAGAAAATGGTCTGAGTTTCAGTTTCTTCCTAACTTAAAAGGATAGCAATGCTCAACTTAATTACCTATAATGTGAATGTGAGAATCAAATAAAGTAATGAAGAGAATTCTGTAAATCACACAGTGCTTACTTGTAAAGCAACAGAAAGTTATCCCCTGCTTTTTGAAAGTTCACGTATGCCACTTAATGTTACAAAAGAGCTACATTAGTACCTGTTTGTGCTAACCAGAAGAGCTAAGAAGAAGATTTTCATTTCTATGACAATTTACAACAAAAGACAGAAAGCAAAACTAGCTTTCAGTGTCTGCTTCGCAGCAACAGCCATAGAGGCAGCAGGCACCCTACAACAGTGAGAGCTCCTTCCTGGGAACTATTGTATACAAGCTGTGTATATTACATCGTCCCTGCTAACTATATGTGAGTGTTATTTGGGGTTTTATGTGTTATCTGGTATAGTCTGATAGGTTAATTTTTCAATTGAGAAACACTCAAAAATTTTGCTATCAAAAAAGATGAGAATCGGGTCTCCCTGGTGGCGCAGGCAGTTGAGCGCCGCACTGTGAAACTGTCTGCAGCCTCTGCAGCGCGGGTTCGATCCCTGCAGACCGGCGAAAATCCCACATGGCGAAGTAGACCTCTCCTGTCTCACCCACTGCTCCCCTCAGCAGTGTATTTCGTCAGTCTGCCTGTTCTGTTCCCCACTCTGTCTCTGGTGAATCCTTTCATCCTCCTGTGTATCTGGCCTATACCCCAGTTCTTGTATAAAAATAAATAAATTTAAAAAAAAAAAAAAAGATGAGAATCATTTTCTCTTTCATGCCTGGCAGAAGCACATGCTGCTGGGGGAGGAGTTAGGTTAATTACAACCCTGGCTAACGTCCAAAGGTTTAGCAGGAAGTGCCAAGCTGAAGAATAAGAACCAGCTCTCCATTTACACTTTAGTATCCTGATTCCCTGGAGAGATTTTTCCTTGAGTCTTCCTTCTTAAAGTTCGTACTCCCTCCTGCTGAGTCTCCTGAGTTGCTGATTTCATCTGCCCCAGCAATGGTCAAGGAATCCTTACTTGATCAATGGAAAAAAATATTCTGGAAAAGCCCAGTTCTACCAGCTATTTCTTTCCATATTTTAATGGGCAGACGTGCCTTTAATGCTCTTCCTTCCACCTGCGAAATGACTTCATTTTTGTTTCACAGATTATAATCTCTCTAGTACCGAGCACTGCTGAACAAAGCTTGATTTAATAAAAACAGAATAATCTCTCTGGTACACTGAGCAAAAATGTAGACTTGTAAGGAAGGAAAGTTTCATAGAACAACTTTTACCAACGTTTGAACACTTTCTGAAGTAGAGTTTCATCGCCATTCTTTTGAAATGGCCATTCTAATTCTACTCTGGCCAATTTTTAAAATATCCTTTGCATAGCTTTAGGTATGTTACATTCTGGTTAGCCTTGAAGTGTAAATAGCAATTCTAGTCCCTGGTCCTCCTTCAGATAAAAGTTTAAATGAGCACCTGAGCATTCTAAGGCTGTGTTAGATCACACACAGAACTTTCCCCCTCTCATATGTTTTCTTTACTCCACTAACTTCATTTTATGGATGTTGGCGGAAAGTTGAGTGATGAGTCATCAATTGAATCAGTGTAAAAGGTGGAGCAACCACACAATTAATCATAACCAACTAGTCAAGAAAAACTCCAGATCACTCTGCTGGAGACAACCTATCACCATTCATTCCCTGAGCATTAATCAGAGTCTAATGGAGGAATGCACAAAGCATCTTTACCTCCTAAAAATGTATAGCAATCATAAGCAGATCTAGCATAATTCCATATCACTTGGAACCACACACACACACCACACAAACAAACAAAAATACAACTGAGGACAAATTATAACTTTATTCACAAATTATAACTTTCTTTTTTTTTTTTTATAGATTTATTTACTTATACATGCACTGTGTACAGTCAGAAGCACGGGAGGGTGAGAGAATTCACCAGAGCCAGAGCGGGGAGCAGAGCAGGCAGAGGGACCGAAGTACACTGCGGAGGGGAGCAGCGGGCGGCAGGAGAGGTCTGCGCGCCATGCGGGACCCTCCTCTGGTGGCCGGGGAGCAGCTGGGGATCGAACTGGCGCTGCAGAGGCTGCAGGCAGCTTTGCAACCCAGAGCTCAACCGCTGCGCCACCGGGGAGGCCCACAAATTATAACTCAATCCATTTCTCATGATCCATTTCTTTCATTACTTGTACAAGGACAAGGGTTTTGGTAATCTATAGAGAGGATGGTTTGGGAAGTGAATTAGCTTTAATCTTAGTCAACTAATGAATTTAGATTAATACTTTCCTCCTAATAGCTTCCATTTGGAATAACTTGAATATTTATATATGACATTACTGGCACATTAAGATCTTCCATAAATAGTACTTAGAAGTATTACTTCTCGGACCTCCCTGGTGGCGCAGGGGTTAAGATGAAACCTATGAAGAAATCCACAGCCACTGCAGCACAAGTTCGATTCCCGGCCGGCCAGGGAGAAACCCACATGGTGGGACAGATCTCTTCTGTCTCACCTGCTGCTCCCCTCAGCAGTGTGCTTCGGTCTGTCTGCCTGTTCTATTCCCCACACTGTCTCTGGTGAATCCTCTCACCCTCCCTGTGCATCTCTGACCTGTACCCCAATTCTTGTTATAAAAATAAATAAATGTTTAAAAAAAAAAAAGAAGTATTACTTCTCATTAGAATTGATTCTACTAATTACCTCTGCTCCAAATCTAATAGACTGTTTCAGTTCTTAATCTCTTTAGATTTTTCGTGTCCAATTCTTACTTCTATAAATTCTGTCCTTGCCTGGCTTCCAAGACAATGGATGAAGATGTTTCTTCTCTGAAGCCAATCATTCTTTCCTGATTTGTATTTTTCCTGAACTCTCCTCACCTGGTATTCCTCAAACTCTGATCATTCCTAGTCCTCGGTTCTCCATTGTTGGTTTATATGGCTTCCATTGATCATTAAATTTTGAAATAATGTGTAACAGCAATAGACAACTAATACAGTATTTTAATAAGTTCCTCACTTTTACCATTCTCCTTTCTTCCCTTGGGTCTATTTCCAATAAAAAGCATCTAAAGAAGTCCCATTAAAACATAAAGCACGTCACTCCTGCGCTCAATCCTGTAGTGACTTCCCATTTCCCTTAGGACAGAAGTCAGGTCCTTACAAGAGGACCTGAGACCCTGCAGGATCTCACCTCCCTTCCTTCTGTGACCTTCTCTCTAACATTCTCCTTGTCACTCAATTTAATCCTACTACACTAGTTGCCATGTCTCAACTTTAGGACCTAGGTTCCAGCTGTTCCATCTCAAAATGTTCTTCCCCTAAATATCCATGACCACCTCTCATTTCCTCTAAATTTTTACCCAAGTCTCAACACAATGAATCTGGCCTGTCCACCCTATACTAATACAACTACCCTCTAGGCACCCCAAAACTTCCAACCCTTCTAGAACTTTCTGTCTCCCTTAACCAACTCTCTACTCTTCCTTTCTTAGCATCACCATTTTCTAACATACACTGTAGCTTACTTATTTATTATGTTGATTATTCACTGTCCACCCCATGAGAATATCTCCTCCATAAGAGCTTTGTTTCATTTCTTTGTTTCATTCATGGATATATCATAAG